AGTCTTTTTTGTTGATATCGCAACCTTCCACCTCCACTAAATCAGCTACAATCTCAACGATCCCGAAGACGGATGCACAATGCAGGCCATTGAACACAAGAGATTTAGTGAAACCAACGACGTAGGAATATGGATTCTGTGCTTTCAAGAGGATTCTGGTTGATATGTGGTTATCATAGTCGTCAAACAACTTCAGCGCAAGCACTTTCACGCAATCCGAAGGATCCCGTTTTGCGTGGACTCCCCAAAATAAAGATGAATATTCGAGAAAGGGCGTGCCTTTTAGATCTGGAGAGGGATTGGCAGAGAGAGCCTTGACCTGGCAGGAATTCAAATAGCTTAAGCAGGTTTCGGCCATTGTCGAGTAAGGTGTACCGAAGAGCTCGGGATGAGCCCGGAGGTACTCTTGTAGGGTAAAGTGGATTAAGCGGACAGTGGAAGCCTCCTTGTCTACAGCAATGAGTCCTTGACAACAAGCTAGCAATGTCCCTATTGAAGGGACATTGTCGGGGTTGAGATTCGGCGACCCTATTTCGACCGCTAGGGCGTGACATAGTTCGTCGGACTTCAAGGGCCGCTCCGAGTGAGAGATCCACATCAAGGCGGCAATTCCGAGCCTCGCTTTCTCCCCACCCTGTTCCTTTATCCGACCTATCGTAGCACCATAAGCCTCCTCCAACCCTAACCCATCGGTCAATGCACTAAGCTTTTGTCGCCTGCGATGGATTGTTGTTTCTTGTAGGATGGCATCGATGTTGAGCGAGACGAGTAGAAATCTAGATATGCATGTGTCAGCGGATGACTTAAACCAGCTTCTCCGGCATTTTCGCTCGTACGTACATTTCGGAAATGTCATCAGGGATTTTTTTCAGGATGTCTGCCTCCAAGCTACTGTCCATTGCATCTGGGTTCGTGTCCTCGTCTAGTCTGCTATGGAGATACCTAATGATATCATCTCTCTTGGGACTTATGGATAAGCTGGCTCCTCTCCCGGCCAGACGCCTTCCGATCTCGGGTCGAACGTGCGGTCTCCCAGTGGCGAATATTCGAGTGCCTGGACAATTTTGGAGAACTTTATTTAGCGAATCAAGAATCTTGACTCGATATCCGGCTGCGCATTCATCTAGAGCATCGATGCATATGAAGGTACGCTTTTTGGAGGAGGTAATCTGCAACATCTTTAAGATATCGGAAGGCCCCGGTTCCCGTCCACCGAGGGAACTTTTTTGGTCTTGGTACGCTTGCGATATCTCCTCCGGGAGATCCTCCAGTCCCCCGACCAGCTGTTTCAATAGGGCACGCAGCACGCTTGTGGAAGATTGCTCCTTTTGGGCGGCAAAGTCGAAATAAAAGCATGCGACACTAGCAGTTTGTGCTCTCGCTCGATCGCACAAGCTGTCTATCACTAGCGAGCTAATGTCATGGCTAGTCAGCGCTTGCCCGTTTTATTTCGTTCCATCAGGTTCATCCTATTTACCTAATGTAAGTTTTTCCCACCCCTGGATCTCCATAGCAAAACAATAATCCGTTATTGGATTCACTTTCCTCGCTACCGGCATACCAGTTTCTGAACTCCTCGGTCTGCAAGAGCCATTCCCCTACATTTTCGACTCTGCGTTCTCGAATGTCCTGATGCCTTGACTTGGGATCAAGTGGGGATAGCCAGGCTAGGATATTGGATCGGTCATCGGCAAGAGTAAAGGTGTTGGACACATTAAAAGAGTTGATATTGTTACTAAGTGATTGAGACATTTGCAGAGTTTTGTAGCTTGGGATATCGTGGATGATGGATGGATGGTGAAGTCGCCGGTAATCGACTGCTAAAATTCCGGGGGGCTGAGGAAAGGAGGGGTCTTTTGTGGAACCTTACGGATACACGCTTTTCCTTTGAACTTTCCAATTACCCTTCCCTGAACTTTCGCGGCATACCCTCTGCTTATACTTACCGTATCGGTAGTGCAAAATGCCACAAGTTTGTAGGCACTCGCCCGCTACGTGGCGCAAATCTTTTGCTGCAATGGACGAATACTTGGCCATTTATAAAGTATTCGGACGCTTTGCACCCACACAGGCGCAAATAATGCCAAGGCGTCCGAATACTTTATAAATGGCCAAGTACTCGCGGGGCTCTGTAACCTTGGCACGGTTAGTGAGTTCCTCTAGCTTGGTAGACTATACAAGCGCAAGTACGTCAAGCCCTATGAATTGACCAGTTGAAGAATTCGCATATCCCTTAGTTTAACGCACTATAGCATATTTCTCTGTAAATTACTGTCGGCGCAAGCTGGTGGGTTCTTCTCGTAACCCGTAGGAGGTTGGTTCGGCGAAGATACGGAATGTCCCCTTTGATATCCATAGGGGCCCACCGAACACAGAATTTGTAGCAAGTTGCTTTCATGCGTGTATCATAATCTACCGCATCCTTTTAACGATCCGGGGATAAATTCGACAAAACAAGATACCGTTTGGTGGTTAACTTAGGTGCCGGTAGTAGTCTGGGAGACGTTGGATATCCTGGTGAATAGCCTAACCTTTCGTTAGAACCTAGGATAATTCAGGATCAGAGATTCACCACTTAGACTACCGTGACTAGTTGTGCTTGTCGGGTATATCTTGGGGAACGGCTTTGAAGGAAACTGCGCAATAGAGTACGCTCTAAACAAAGCTACCACGATTAGTTATAAGTTACGAGAACTTTGCGGACGCGAGTGTACTCTACAATACGTGTGGGAGAAAAATAATAATTCTACCTCACTCTGTTCATAATACACACGGCTACATCAGAGTGCTATCGCCTCTAATAGGGTAACTTGGCTATCGGACATCGCCACTTATTCCCCGGTCATTTGGTAACGTCATCATAGAGTGCTAGTCGTATAAGCTTTGGGATCGGAAGGGAAGCCCACCTAGCGTAGAATATGGTACAATATTACTGTTATATGGTGCGTACGAGTGGTTCACCGTAAATGTATTAGACACCCTTGGCGAGGTCGGTATGAAAAATGGCTTCCGATCCGAATGGTTATTTGTGAAAGGAGAGGGGATGGTTTGCGGATGGGGTGGGAAGGGGGGGAAGGCCCAGTTTGGATATTTAAATATGCAATTGGCCCTGGGCATTGCGGGTGAGGATATGGTAGTCCCAGCCTGGATGCCCCTCTGTGGTCCGTCCCGGATGATACCCTCACACGGGCTAATGATTTTGTGCTTCTGGTTTGGTCTGATTTTGTCTGGTCCTGGGTTCGTGGACTGAAATCTACTCTCTGTCGTGGGCGTTAGGTTGCGGGGCAGCTACCCACTGGGGTTGGAGTTGCAGTGCGGTGTAGCTCTAGTGAGGTTTTGCTTACCTGCCCGGGGTGGATGGAATCTCGGTGGGGAAAGACGAACGGGTAACATTTGCTATCCCTCCAAATGACTGGAGACAGCCATGAGTAGAATCATAGCTGAGGGCTGTGTCTGAGCAGTCTTTGCGGTGCTCGGGACTGGCTGTCTGGGTGGGTGGGTTGGTAGAGCGTAATGGTTTGGGTTGAGTGGTGTTGTATACCATATGACAAATATTTGACCGTGTGTTGCCACACTGCACTATAAGTTTTAAAAGAGGTAGAGTTACTATGATAGTTATTATAGATATTAAGATTATTCCACTAAGATCTATTACCATCATAACCTAGCCTACAAGAAAGTAAAATATTATTGGTTATTAAATTATATGTGGTAAATGTTTCCTGTTATCAACTTGTGTGATCAGTGCTGGCTCTTAGGCTATACTTATTAATGTTTTAATAGTGGTAATTTTTAATTTTTAATTTATGGAGAGTATTTTTTGTTGAAGTGCCCTATACCCTGTCCAGTATTATTGCGTTCTTTTCTACATGCTCATTTTGGAGGCACCCACCATTATAGAACAGTATATACTAGTTAGGTGGGCTGTATTAGAGGTTGTGGGAAGGGTTTCTGTGTAAGTGTTATTCGGGTTTGCAGAGAATCTGTAGGGGGGTTTGGGTTTGGGGTTGAAGAGTGATGCGGTGTTTGTTTCGTCGGCCCTTTGGGGTAAACGTTGGTAGGATACGCATTGGCTTTTGCGAGTATTTAGGAGTGGGGTGGTTGGACCATTGGGTATTGGACTGCGTTCTTTGAGGGAGCTGATCACTATTGGGTCTTGACGGTGAGCTTTGGTGTCTCTTTTGCTGGTATGATATTAGAAATGCTTTCGCTATATTTTTTCTCTAATGTCAAAACGGTGTTTTGGTCTATATTTGGGGGGGGGGGCTGGATTGTAGGTGAGGGAGGTAAATGGAGGATAAAGGGAATATTATAATGAAAATTCCACGCCAGACTCGGACTGGATTATCTCGTTGGGGTAGGGATAACCCTTCACTGACGTCAATCGAGATTATAAACCGAAACTTGGGAATCCCGACGCAGCTACATAAGAAAGTCCGTGTAGAGGTTTGGGAGAGTTTGTGAGGGTATGTGTATTCCGACCGGTACATGATTTCCCTCGACCGGAGGGAATATCTAAGCCGAGTCTCTGCCGGCAAGCTGCCTCTGGAAGGAATGAGGTGACAGAAATTGTTACAGATCAACGTTTTAGAGGTAGGGAGGGGGAGGGATGGGGGAGAGTGGCGGGGGGAAACGCTAGGGGCGGCAGCGGGGGGCTATGGAGATGTTGCAGTCCTTACGGAGGTGGCAGGTGAGCTATCCGTGGTCGGAGGTGGTGAGGGGGTGATGTATCCTCGGATTTAGGTCGCACTGGGTGTGGCGGATGCTAGGGGTTGTAGTAGAGCTACTCTCCTGTATGGCCATGCCAGACAACCCCCCGGAGCGGTGTCCGGCCGAACGTATTCGGCTTGTTCGGGTGACTTCGCCCCGTCCGAGCAGTAATTCTGCCACTCCCTCGTGGCCATTCCAAGCAACACAATAGAGTGGTCTGTCTGCCGCATCCTGCTTTTATCCATCTATCCATCCATCAAAGACTCGCCCCACTCCTCATATAATCTACTATGGACCGGCTCCAGGTGTATGCTGCGGTTCAAGGACTTGGCGGGGTGAGCGCACCTCCGGGGATGGTTTGTTTTTATCGGACCTTTCTTCACTTATTCATACGGAGCTAATTTTCTAATTTTTTATCTCAACCCGCGGTCCCTCACGCTCGGACAGGAGCCCCGCCAGACCACCTCCAACCTCGGCCATCTCAATAAGCCCTCTATCCAGGCGTTGGTCCACGGGTTGAATAGACATTACTACTCTATCCTCATCAACTACCGTAAAACGCACCTGGAGAACATGCTCATGAACCTGCACAAGACGGTTTGGGCCGATGGCCTGACGATGAGAGACTTTAGGCCCCTTGCTAAGGAGAACCGAGAGCGCTAGAACAGATGGTTGGCCTGGCCGATTCCTATGAGAAGCGCGTCAAGGAGAACAGCCTGACGAAGGATGATTTGAAGACCCGCTATGTTGGGAGGATGGATCCGAAGAAGCATTTGGAGGAATTGGGTAAGCGGGGTATCTAGGGGAATATTGTGGGCGTGTTGCTTGAGATGGTGGATAAGGAGGCGAGCTTTGCAGCTGATATCGATGGGAGTAAGCCTGGACATGTGGAGGCTATGGATGAGGATTAGACTGGAATTGAGGGGTTTTTATTTTTTTATTTTAGTTTGGGGGATACCTTTTCCACACTCTTCTGTACAATAGCCCATGTGTATCAATCCGTCCATATGTTTATTACTGCTTGTGTTGCCTGCTGGGGGGATGGTGGAGAAATGACTTTGGAAATGTTGTAGCTAATATCATAATTGACTATATTTGTTACAGCATTGCGTCGCGGCACGGGGGGGTGCCGGGCTGGGAACGCGATGCAGCCAGGGGACCGTATGTTTTTGTAGATTCGTGCAGCCGACGGCCTTGCTCGATTTATGTACCGCTTAGTGGTCTCACCCTCGGATGCGAAAGCTATGTGCGCCCCTTTCCTCCCGAAGCCTTGGCCGATGTGGGAAAGGCTTTACCTTCCCTCCTTTAGAGCCATGAAAGACTGGCCATAATTTAACCTTTGAAAAACTTGACCAAACACTGTGAAACCCGGTTCCAATATCAGCCCCTCGGCGGGGTTCGTGCTGTTTGCTCTTGTTCGTAGGCACGAGTATTGCCTCTCACTCCCCTAAGCAATGAGCTGCAGCAGACTCACGAACTCTCACTCGCTTGATATTAGGGTTGTAAGTGTTGAAAACATGAGAATAACTTCATATGGGTGTTGTTATGCGAAAATGGTCCAGACACCTTAAACCTGGTTTTGAGTAATTACAGTTTCATGTTTGCATAGCAACCACAGAAAAATGATAAAACATAAAAATATTTCATACTCTTACATGTAACCAGTGTTACAAAATTCTTTATAGAAGGCAATTCTACTACTAAAAAAGGCTCTTAAATATTTTTCTGATAGCTGAAAACTCAGGCTACGTATCTATGGGAAAAAGAGAAAAGTGTAAAATCTGAAAAAATCTAACTGTGAGTCAATAGATGCACAAATTTCCTTGAAAAATATTTTTTAAGATCATCAGAAGGGACTCTTCAAGTGGAAGAATAATTATATGCATTGAAGCAAATTTGTTGCATTGGTAGAGTGGGCCAATTTTCGCATATCAACACCCATATGGGAGCCATAAGCATTCATGTGTGTATGTAAGTGCTTAAACATCTTTCATGTCTTTGTTGTGCGTTGCTCCCTGAAGTTTGTTTTCTCCTGTTCTTTTTCTTCTCTTAACCAACAAACACATCCAATTCCTTCTGTTCCTCCCTCGTTGTTTTCTTCTACTCTGCACAGTCAACAAAACCTACCTCCTTCTTTTCTTTCTCTTGACTCCACTCTCTGTATACAAGAAAAATGCTTTTCTCTCTTTGGGCATTTACTTCCTTCGGTTCCGTAAAATCTTTATCAATTCAACCGCAATTTTCAACAGTAAGAGTAAGCTTACTCAACATATTTTACGATACAACACAAGACGATCCAGCACGGTACCGTTACCCGGACCGGTGGGAGAAAGAGGAGAGAAGCAGTTTGGATCTCAATCGGGATGTGGGAGGTGGGGAGCTGCGTAGTTAGAAACAAGCCTTCCAATGGGTCAGCCCGGGCTCAAAAAGGGCCGACCCGGCCCAGCCCAAGCCCAACGAAATGTGAGCCCGACCCAGCCCAACCCAGGGAAGAATAGCCCGGGCTCACCCAACGAGCCCAATGAGCCCATTGGGCTTACGCACCAGTGAAGAGGTATAGAATAAGTCAACCCAGATCTATTAATCCTGAATGAAATACAAAATTGCAGATAAGAACAGAGATTGAGCAAAAGAAGTAGATAAATACAATATAGCAATAAATCATGACAACTTCCAATAGAAAGATCCTAGTTTAGTGGGAGTGCCAGCTTCGGAGACACTCAGTTGACTCAATTGTTTGTGCGTTGAGGGAGTGGCAGGAGTCCGAAATTGTCCTCTTGGCTCCGGAGAATATGCGTTCAGGTTCGGAAGACATGGCAGGAATCGACAGCACTGAAATCGCCCATAGTGCGAGTATTGGATATTCAACTTGTTGTCGATCCTCCAGCCACCAACTAGAAGAACATTAGTAACAGGGCAATTGGAAATTTGATTCTAATTTAAATGAAGGTTAAAGAGAAAGAACATACAGAAGAGGATTTTGGATACTAGGTTCCGGTTCAGCATGTGAACAATACCGCTCGTAGTCATCTGATAAAGCCGGTTCCCCAGTGGCTCGAAGATCCATCCAGGCCCAAAAAGGATTTTCCTCCTCTCCTGGTGGGTTAGGTGTAGGGCTGGAATGTCCATAATCCCTCTGGTCACGCTCTTCTGGTTGACCAACAACCCTGTTTAGTCGATCCTCCTCCTCTTTATTAGCTAGATACTGTAACCAATATCCTTTTAATCTTTGCTTCCCACTTTGAACCCAATTTCGATCCCACTTAACCTCAAAGTACCACCACTTCAGCTTTGGATTTAAAACTACTGCAGCAAGATAGACAGGAGCTCTATCTGTAGCAGAAAAATACTTGTCTAATTTTTCCCATCCCATACGAATCATTGAGGATAGTACTCTGTTATCAGCATTATCCTTAAGGGCCTCACTATATGTATTAAGTAAAAAGTCAATAGAAGGTAAAAGATGTGTGAGGGTTGCTTGATGTCCTTCTGTAGCCTTTGTAGCAATCTTAAATGCCGATAAGATTTTGTAAACCTTTTCCAGCAGTCTCCACTCGCGCCTCTCTAATCTATCCTCCTCTAATTGAGGATTCTCATCCACATAGACCTCAATAGCATGGCGTAGGTTAGGGCGCAGGAGTGTTTCAAGAAGATTATGCCAGGAATTCCATCAAGTAGCATTATCACGTTTAAGCAAAGTTCTCCCACTCAGCTCACGAAATCGCTTTATTCGAGATGGTGTTTTCCGTGTATGTAGGGCAATGTTATGGGCTTTGCCAAGTGGGCCAATAGTCCTCCATTTTTCTAGCTCGTGCAGTAACTGCTCCGGAGTAGCATTTGACCATTCCAGGCTATCATGTAAAGCGCTCTCACTACTCCCAAAGAGAAAGTCCCGAACACTTAAATTGATGATATGTCCAATACATCTGCCAGAATAAATTAATTGATACACTCAAAATTAGAGTATGCTGGAAGTAAATAGAGAGGAGAAAAAAATGATAAAAGTATTTTCTTACCTTAACCTTTTCTCAATAGCATTGAAGCAAAGTCCTGCCGCAAGTTGGGCAGTCTCGAGATGGTCCATGAAAGTATCATTATTTGTTGCATTGTCCATCATAATATACCCAGTCTTGTGTTGAATTCCGTATTCCCTGACAACCTCTAAAAAGGTTCAACATTGGTTCTCTCCACTGTGGATTCCCTCGAGCTCCCGGAGAGCAAGCAGCGACTGCTTCAGATTCCCGGATTCATCTGTATAATGGGCCACAATTCTGAGTAGTGCCAGGTGGTTCGGTGATGTCCACAAGTCTAGGGTATAGTGGATAAGCGATTGGGAACTCTGAAGGGCTTTTGCAATTTCCTTTTTTTCACGCGCATAGGAGCGGGAAATCCAACCACAAACGGTAGTAGATGATGTAGGAAGTATCTCAGCGGCCTCTGGACGGATAGCATATATCAGGTCATGAAACTCCTGCCAGGTGGGAAAGATGAAAGGTAAATTATGATGCGTAATGAGACGCATCTAGAATCATTCATATTAACAAGGGTGACAGAAGATATGGGAATTACCACCAGCATTCAATAAATGCTACTTACATAGAGGATTTCTAAGGACTCCACAACAAGGGGAGGAAAGTTCTGTTCCTCTTGTTCTTTATTATTCTGTATTGCGGTATTAAGTGCACTGATTCTCCGGGATTCGGCTACTGCTGCTACTTGCATTGATTTCTCAATTGACAGCTGGGCTTGCTTCAGGCGCTTTGTCTTCGTTGAGGGTTCTTCACTAATCAAATGAACGCGTATGAGGTGTGCTGCCGGATTCTGAGTACCATGAGCCTTTTGATACCTTTGGAGACACCGAACACATTGCCAATATCTAATAACCCATGAATCTCCGGTTAGCTTATACTGATGGAATACCGGCTAAATCTTAATCCTATATTCAAGTAGCAGAAGACTTACTCGATATCGTCTATTATTACTAACTTTCCATTAGGAGACCCAGGAGGACCCCATACCCACGACGAAGGCAGTGGACTTTTTCTCTTTCTTCGGGAACTAGTATTGGGTGGAAGTAGGTGATCGCGGTGATATTCTGATTCCTCCGGGTATTCTGAACCGGCAATCTCACCTTCAGTTGATTCTGAGTGCTGAAAGTCGGGAAGTGGACTCGGAGATCGCAGTATCGCTGGAGGACTAGAGAGATAACTCCCACTGTTAGAAGAAAAGCTCATAGTTTTTGTATTGGTATGTATAAAGAATAGGAAATGCAAGTGGAAGTAAGAGCACAGGAATGAAAAAAGGAGCAAGTACAAGATAGAGAAACAATATCATGATCTGAAAGAGTTACTCACGGATTTCTTACATTGCAAATCTGGAAATCAAGTGAGAATCCAAGAGCAGATCTAGTACAATAAAGGTTAGTTTTAAACTAAACTATCTCGATTCAGGTAAGGCTTTATTCCTACCTTACTTCTTGTAGCAACGGTGTTCCACAACCCAGTGTGCTCGGACTATGGTTTCCCTGGTAATACGGGGTGAGAAACACAACGCAAACCTTAAAAATAAGGTGAAACATTCGATGGGTTCGCTGGGTGACCCGGGCTTGCCCCCCCCCCGGCCCGGCCCAGCCCAAGGAAGACAATTCATCAGCCCAGCCCAAT